CTAGTCAGCTTTCTGCCCCGTGGCAGGGTGAATTACCTCTCTGCTGTTCCTGACTGACATTGTCTAAATTGTTGATAAAAGCTCCTTTGATGAGGATTCCACAACTTGCTTAGACAACCTACCTCCATTTTTCATTTACTGTTACAAGGTTTTTCCTAACACTTAACCCAAACCTCCCGTACTGTAACTTGAACTTGTCATCTTAATCACCCCGGACACAGAGTCTCCTCTCTTCTTCCCGCACATTTCTATGTATCTGAAAATTTTAGGCTGTTTCCTGCCATGTAGGTGACAGGATCCTGGTTCTTTCAAATCTTTCTTCATTATTCAAGGCCCTGAAAACATAGAAGATCAGGTATAGGGCTAATACAGATTTCCAAACTCCTTGTTTACTAAGGAGCGTGTCCTACCATTTGATATGTTCAGCACAGAGACCAAGGACTCAGTGTTGGAAACACAGTGGCAGATCCCCACCTCTAGATTCAAAAAAGCGGCACCAAGGCCAGGAAGGAATGATACGTCTATGGTTTGACTCGATGATCTTGAAGGTCTTTTCCAACCTAAATGATTCTAAGCCGAGTCTGCAGAGTTGCAAACATCACCCCTGTTTGTGTTCTGCCTAGCAGGCAGATAGGTGGAGGTTCAGCTTTTATGGCTGTCAAAGGGGTTATAGCACATTTGCATCAAAAAATTAAAAAAAGGAACAGAAAAGATAAGAAATGTCTTGATCGTAATCTACAGCAGAGTATCCATATTATCAAATAACCTTGACTACAATCTTTTGCCACTTTCTGTCTGAAAGCAGGCGTGCTTAACCTACATCTAATGTAGGACGTGAGCAGATAAAAGCAAGGCTTTGGGAATATGACAGGCGGCCCCAGAGACAACCTCATATATTTTCTTCTGGTGAGAGCTCGCCTTACAAGATACGTTTGCAGATTTTTAAATTTTAGCCGTAAATATTTAGGATTAAATCCTGGTTTCACTGGTCTTACAGTGAGATTTTTACCAGTGACTTAATAACAGTCATATTTCATGCTCCACGGATATGAATTACAGATAGAATTACACTTTTAAAATGGTATTTTTGACTGTTTCTTAAGATCTCTGTAGGTATCACACTGTCCTTAGTATACTATCCTGAGAGTTTACATGGCGAACACCTTCTACAACAGTTTAAAACCAACAGTTTTATAAGTCCAAATAATATTTTCAGTGAAAGTAACAGATCTGTTTTACAAAGGCATGCTTTAACAACACTCAGATGATTCAAAGAAAAGCTAAATCCTCCATCTTAAAACTCTGGCATGAAATTGGTTCAAGATTTAGCTACTACTATATCTTAGTCTTTTGCTTTGTTATTAGTTTTCCAATATTTTTTTCCTCATCTAGATTACCCTCTATTATTTAGTTATAACTTCCTCCATAATTGCAATCAATGAATACTAATCACTTAATAAACATATCCTGACAGGTCTATTTTTGCACTGGGAAAAAATTCATTTTCTTTATCATCACTTCAGTAAGCCATTTTTCTTTTTACCTGAAGTAGCAAAGTGGAATGTAGTACCTGGTGTAAGAGTTCTGCTCTGCTACGCACAACATTTGAGCAAGGCCAGTCACCACTCCTTTCATTTTTACATTCTTTAGACATAGATTTATCAAAGCCTGTGTATCTTGGAATTTGCATTCACTGATTTTTGTACGTAATTCTGTTGCTGCACATAGGTAAAAGTTGCTTTGCACAAACAGCTTGTTAACACTGAGCAAATGATGGCATTCTGGGAGACTTTCCAGAGTGCTTTTCTTAAAATGCAGGTAATGCAGAGAGAAACGGCATTTTTTGTTAAATTTTTGAGCTTAGATATTCAGCATGGACATGCCAAAGAGTGTGCATTCTGTCAACTATCTAGAAAGGCCTGATTTGATATTGAATGGAATGAAATATCCGGAATGAACTTGGATACCGGCAGGTTGCTATAATGATTTTCTTTTCCACTGCCACGTGAATACAGCACATGAAACTGGTAAAGGAACACAAAGAAAAGAAAAATGTATTTTGTTTTGTATATAGAAACCAGTGGTGTTGTTTTTTTTTAGAACAAATCAGATCAATTTGTTCTAAGTGGGCTTGGCCTAATACCACTGGAATCAAAGCAAGTTTTTCTACTGACCTCAAGAGATTTCAGACTAAGTATAGCAATAAATGCAAATTCAGAGTAAATAAAGTCTCCTACAAAATTCACATTTTTCTGCTTGAAGTCCATATGGAGAAATTCTCAAACGTCTTGTGAGGTAAGTCTGGCCCTTCATTGCTCCTGGAGACCTAATATGGGTATTCAAAAATTCAAACTATGTACAGGGAAGGTAGACATTCAACCTCTGCTCATATGCTGTTTAACTCTGGTCTGGCCTGGCTTTGCCTTAGGACAGACTGTGCAGTTTTCCAGGTATCTGCCGAACAGGACTAAAACAATGGCTTTGGATTCAAAAAATAAAATAAAATCATTAAAACAAACATTAAAAATCAAGGTTTGAGTACCTCAAATTTGCGTTCCTGATGTTATCTTTTTAGGTGGACAATCCTCAGTGGTTAATTCTGACATTAAATGGTCTGTCAACCTTTCAGCTGAAAGCTAAACCATAAAGGGAGTACTCTAAAACAAAATGAGTTTCTGTAAAATGTAAGTACGCTTCAGTTCTTCACACTAACATTTAAAACATCTTGAGCAACGCATCCTTGTTCCAAAGTATCCACCCACTCTAAGGACAAATTTTCCAGTGGTACCTTGTGGCATTTTTTGTACAAACACTGACAAAAGCTAGTTTTACCATCCTTATCCTCCAAACTCTCTCTCTTTTTCAGTCCCATGTAACTCGAACCAGTGGGACCAAGCTGAGCTGTCCCTCTGAACTTAATTCCATTTCTGGCATCATTCTTTGTGCTTTTGTAAATGGCCTCACAACCAAGCCTCATGATATGAACAAATGAAAATTCTTACTAATACAGGCCTGTCACAGGAATATATATCTATCTACACACAAGAGACAACTTGTGACTGTAAAAATTTAAATATGCAATAACTACAAGGGCAAACTTTATTTTTTTGCTCTAGTCTCATCTTTGCTGCAGACAGACCCACAGCAAGTTTCAAGTAAATCTTTCTAATACATACCAAACAAAAAAGCTTATGCATATTTTAATCCCTTCAGCAGTATCACCTTTTCCCTGAAAAGAAGAATTGTTTATATACATTAATAATATGGAATAGATTTATTCCACAGCTCTGAAAATTAGACTAAAGATCTCACTTCAGAGTTCACTAGTTCAGCTTGTAATTTTCAGAATTCTTTTAAGATATCAGTACAAGGCCTCTTTTTGTGTGCACAGTAATGAAGACTTTAAATATACTATCTCTAAACATAGGCATATTAATAAAAGATGATAAAGTAAAACAAAATTTGCAAAAAGCAGCAACTTTTAAAATAAGCAATTATTACACAATTTAATGCAAAAAAAATACACTAGGCATTTTGTAAAGATCTGGGAAGTGCTTAATATGAAAACAAAATGCCTGGATTACTCTAGCAGAGATATGTTGACAACGACGGAGGTCAGAAAGCAATTGTGAAGAAACACTCTGCATCTGTGCCGGTGACAAAGTGTTCAGTCATAAAAGCTTTGATTTAAATCATATTAGCATAGTGTGGCAGAAGCATGCAGCACCACAACATCAAAGAATAGTCCCCAAAAATAGGCTTTTTTTTTTTAATCTTCTCTCCAATAAAAGTATACTTTTAGTTTCCAGCTTATGTGTGTATCAGAAATGGTTTGCATATCTAAGGAGAAATCAGAGGGGAATGAAAAAGAAAAACAACTTGAGGGATGCAAGAATCTCACCATACTTTTAAGTAAAGAAATAACAATTCACTTGTAATAGGACTGTCCCATTAGGGTCCCTGATTGCTATGAAAATCTCAACTGACCTACTCCTTTTCCTTGTTAAACTTACCATTTTAAGATAATTAAAACAATATAACCTTGGATTTGAACTCACTAGGTTACTTTTAACGTATACCTCACAGTCCTCCCAAAATTCTTTGGAGAAAAATACTCTTGCCTGAATCTCACGTTGTCTCAGCAGCTGGATACTCTTGTTACATATAATTTTTCTCAGACTCCTCAGAAGAGATGTGACTAGTCAGAATTTGCCATTTTTGATTACAGCATAGGGAAAATATCAATTTTTTCCTTTGTTTTCAGTAACTTTACAAAATAAACCAAATTCACTGCTTGACTGCATGTAGAGACAAAATAACGAACTTCATTTAGGAACAATTCATTCCTCTTCCGCACAAATTTTTGAGCACGGTAATTGAGAGGATAGAACATCATTGCTTTGTGTAAGCATAACCTTTTTGAACTTCCCAGGCTGACACATCACAGCTGAGATGCAATCGTGTTAGTCACGGCACTCTGCGTGGTGCCAATGCTGTACTGAGCAGCACGCTATTAGGAAAGGGTACGGCAGCATGCTGCAGCACCGGCGGGGCCCTCCCATGCTGGGATTGTCTATGTGCAAACACCATGCCCGCTGTCACAGCACAACACAGGAGGATGCTAGGGAGCTATTTCTGGAACACCAGGAGCGCTTATTCCTCCGCAACTTGACCCCTGCTCTGTGTGGTGATGGCGGTGATGTGTTTCAGATGCGATGTATAATAGCAGGAGAGCACTGATGCATCAGACCAGGAAATTAAAAAAGATGCCATTCACACAAAGGAATGTTTAGTTAAGTTTGAAAACCTTGGCTCAGATGATACTGTGATGGACCATTTGTTACATCTTTACTTACTAATGTTCATTTGCTGTGGAATTTGTTGTTGTTTTTTTCCTCTACAAATCAGTTTGTTACTGATCTTAAATGATTCTGGGAGCTCATCTGCATTTCACCCAACACGTTTTGAGTCAGAGATAATACCTGAAAGCACTAGGGTCCTTAAAGGAACAGCCTATTACAATACACAACAGTAACTATGTTTCTACGATTTATGAAAAGAAAGCAATATGTGCCTGTTTCGGTGCCTGTCGTTTGCCTACCAATGGTGCAGTGCTCCCCATTCCAGCCCTCTCTGCATTCACATTTCCCATCTTTACAAGTTCCGTGCTCCGTGCAACGGGGATGACACACACGCTGGTCGCACGCCACTCCTGTCCACCCTTCTTCACAGCGACATGCTCCGCCAATGCACACCCCGTGAGTGCCACAGTCTACAGAGCACACTTCTAGGAGAAGAAAAGAATAAAGATTATAGCTAGCTTATGTCAGCAGCAACGAGGCAGGAGCAGCAACCTAGCTATGAAGGGAAAAGCGAGTAGAACAGGTATACTTTTGCTGAAAACTACATGCTGTCAAAAGCTGGCCTGTTCATATTTTAATCAAAATCAGCATTTAACTTTTGCGTAAAAACAAACCAAATTATATTAAAAAGTGTTTAAAAAAAAATAAATCTGCTAATGGATGCTGGACAGACTGCTCTAGAGCCACTGTCTAGTCCTCTATTCAGGTACAAACAAGTTTCAGAGGTAGCTTCCTCAACACCTGTCAGCAGTGAAGAAGGGGAGCACATAGCTCGGTTTTACTCCAACCTGGACCTCCGGTGATTTTGATACAGGCATTGATTTGCTAAAAATGAAACTGAAACTCACCTAAAACTCATTCAGCAGAGAATGGTGACAATTCAGGGTCACTTAGACTCTAGGAGTGACGGGTAAAAGGCACTTTCAAGGGAGAGATTTTGCAATCCTATTACTAACATGGTCAGTTATCCGGTGTCTCACTCCAAAAATTCTTCTACCGCTCTCTGCCAGCTGAAGTTGTAGGAAAGCAGAGGGATCTTTTCCCTCATGCACCATCAAAGAAATTGACAGTGAAACGCTCATTCATGAATTTTTCTGGCTGCTGATGCATGAAGTAGAAAAAACACATCTTGATATTCATCTTACTGGTGGGGTATTCAAAGTCATTAATCTTCAGAAATAACTGAGTAAGTGTGAAAACTGTAAATATTATTTTGAGAATTGCTTATGGCCTGCTCTGTCTCAAGGTTCAGCTTACAATAGAAATGCAAAATTCCTTGTATTTTTTCCCCACAAATGGAACATTTGCTGTCCTATCAAAACTGTTTTTTTTTTTCTCTTTAGCTCCTTCTGTTAGAATAATCAAGTGTTACAACCGTAGCTTTGGAGAGGATGAAATATTTTAGCCTACACTTTTGTGCCTGCTTTTTAGTGTCTCTTGCTCTAAAATTATTTTTTTAAACATTCCATGTACAACTGAAAAGGGAAAAATACCCTTTATTTGAAAGGAGATTCTATTTTGTGATGTTTTTCATAAATGAGTAGTATTTTGACATGCAGTAAAGCAAACCCCAAAAATGTACTTAATTGTAGTGTTTTCCATTCCTCAAATATTATATTTATAAGTTATGGAAGTTTTCATTTACAGTGGGGAAACAGATGTGAAGCACTTAAGTAACTTATTCAGTCCAGACGAGGGTCAGGATTAGAACTAAATACCAACTCCCACCCTGCATCCCCCTCGCTCCCCAGCTGACAGTCCCAAATTAAGAATGTCACAAAAAGTAATATCTAAGATTTATACACACTTCTTCCCAACATAACTAAACAGGACCAAACATGCTCCAAAGACAATTTTCTGAATTATTTGCATTTCAAACTTGCCATAGGTATTCACAATTGAACAAAATAGGAATGTCATTGCAAAATCAGGAAAAAAATCTTTTTCTTACCAACGGAGCAGTCAGGACCCATCCAGCTGGGATCACAGCTACAAAGACCTGTATCAGACAGGTAGGTACCGTGCCCACTACACTGGTCTGGACACTGGGCTCTGGGAAGCTCACAGTTTATTCCACCCCAGCCCAGGCTGCAGAGACATTCTCCGTTCACACAGACTCCATGGTTGGAGCACGTTGGATCTAAGCAGTCAACTACAGAAGAAAACAAAAACAATGTAGAGAAAGGTCAGTTCATATAATATGAAGTTTGGAAAACACGTAGATGTGTGCTCTGAAAGGTTTATATCACTGTGATAAAGAAATCAAATTGATGTCTTTCTTCAAGTCATGTTAACACCTGGTCTGAGAATGGGAAACTGTGAAGTAACTTGTGTTTTACATTAGCTCCAAATAAAATAGGGTGCAACTGAACAATTGAGGTTTACTGCAGGAATG